GTAGCCGTAAATTTGGCTTGGTCAGCAAAGATTTTAGCCGAACCTTTTAAAATTTGGTCTAATTGGAGAAGGCGATTATTTTTGCTGTTAATTACTTCATTGTATGTTTTTATTTGTCGGTCTTTCTTTTCTATGTCTTTTTTAAGAGAAATTATTTCGTTATTTGAAGTTTCTAAACTTTTTTCTAAATAATTCTTTCTATCTTTAAAATCATAAATAGTTTGTTTAATTTTTTCTTCTAATCCTCGTATTTTCATAAATATTTCATATTATTTAGTTAGTTTATTTCGTCATTTAGTTCTTTGCGGTCCAAAGTTTTCATTAAGGTCAGATAAATCAGCATTTATTCCCTTTTGGATTATTCTTTCAGTAAAGGCAATTACGGCTACTCCACAATCTCAACCATTTTCTTGTTGAATGCCATGTTTAGGTTTTAAGTATTCACCTAAGTCAATATTTTTATCTCCGTGAATATGTTTTAATAATTTCTTAACCAATGGTTTAACATACTCATAATTATCACCTCCTGAGGTGTCATAATGATAAAACCTTTTCTTTTCTGCTTCATAAACTAACAGGGACCAGTGAATTTTTTTCTTATTTACGGGTATAAATACTAATTTCCCTTTAAAATCATACAAATTACTTTTCAAAGTAGGATATGCCATATAAGCATCAGCATCGGCTGTATTTCCTGCTTCTATTATATAATAAAAGTCCATGGCAGGAAGAATTTCATATTTACTAACTTGCTCTTTTGGTAATTCATTAATAATTTGCTGATTGGCTCAGTCTATTTCTTTATCAGTTAATCAGTGTTTAGGAGTAAATCAGTCTGTTTTGTCGGTATTATCTTCTTCCTCTTTGCTTTCGCTGTCTGAATCAAAAGGAAGTGGAGAAGGAACTCGGCTACTTTCATTACTTTCGGTTTCTGATTTTTCTCCCCTTTCTCTTTTCAGTTGCCGAATATTGGCTTGTAATTCTTCAATTTCTAAATTAGCATTATCTAATTCAGCCATTAGTTTAGTAATCTGTTCTAAATAATTTTGGGCTTTTTGGCTTTCAAACTTTATTTCTTCTTTCAATTCTTCGGTTTTTTTCTCATCTTCCCCAGCTGGAGAAGGAGGACGAGAGGAGGAACGAGAAGAAGGGCGTGAACTACTGAACGAGCCATCAGTATTAAACATTTGATAAATTGCTAATAATTGTTGGCAAACTTCTTCTAAAATATTGTAAGTATTAGGTAAATTAGCGTTAGTAAATAAAAGTTTAAGGCGATTTAATTCTTCAATAAGTTCAGTAGGAGATAGTTCTTTATTTAATAATAAGTTCGCGTGGTTCTCTAAATTACTGACTCGAGTAGAATAATTTTGCTCTTTTTCTTCTAATTCTTTTTCCTTCTTCTCTAAATCTTTAATTCTATTTCTTTTATCTCAAAATTCTTTTAATAATCGGGCTTTGCTGTCGAAAGTTAAGTTTTCCCTCGTCTCGGTCATTCATTTGATTAGGTCTTGGTTATTGCTCATGTTTTATTTACTTTCCTCTTGTCTTTACACTTTTTTTAATTTAGTCTTTAAGGCTTCCATAAATTTCTTTTCTTTCTCCTTTTGTTCGCTTTCGGCTTGCTTTAATCGTTCTTTTTCTTGCTCGGCTTGTATCTTTTTCACTTCTTTTACTTTTTTCAGTTCAAGTCTTTTATAAACATTGTGAATAAAAAAATTGTATTCGGTTTTTGCTTCTTGTGTGAAACTTAACTCAAACTTTTCATTTTCACTCTTTAAATAAAAAGTTCGCTTATCTACATCATAAAAGTAAGTAGTCCCTCATTTAATCTCGTTTTTATCCACCCTTTTACTTATTTCCTCAAAAAGTTCTTTATTTGTTGAATGTTTTAGGCACATTATTTTAGTTACTTGTTGGTTAATCAACTACTTTCTGAACCGTTTTTTGACAAAAAGAACAAATTCGGTAAATTCTACTAACATTAAATCCTCTATTGGAAATTCGAGAGTATTCAAAGTTATCTTGTCTAATTTGTTGGCATATTTCACATAATCTAGTTTCTTTCTTACGAATTGCGACATTTTTGTTTCGACTAGTTAATAATTCTTCTAGTCTTTGAATTCGGTTTAAATAACTTTTTCTTTCTTCCTCAGTTATTTGTTGAGAAATATGTTTTTCTAACTTATTTTTAACTTGTTGAGGAGTTTGATTAGGAAAAAATTTCTTTCATTGATTAAGTTCTTTAACAATTTCTTCCAAAGTTCGGTTTTCTTGGTTTAATTTTTCCTCTACCAAATTAATCAGCTCTCTATCCTCATTATTCATATTGCAACCATTTTCCACAACCATTTCTTTGACAGGTTTTTACATGAGTGTTTCCATCTTGAAAATTAAAGTCATGGATTTCAGTGGTATATTTATTGTCAATAACGCAATAATCAGAAAAAAAAATGTAAGGGTTAAATTTCTGCCCTTCCAACTTTTTAACTTCTTCTCATGTTTTTTCTTTGCTTTCTAATAAGTTTTTAAAACTAGAATTAGTGGCTTTTAATTCTTCTATTTCTTCTTTTGCTCAATTTTCCGTTATTTTTTTTATTATTTCTATTGTCATATTATTACAAAGCTACTTCTTCTTTAATTTCTTCCGCTGGTTTTACTTGTTCAGAGTTATCAAAAAACTCTTCATTCACAACATCCAAATATTTCTTTAACAAACTAAGGCTACCATCGACAAAATCATTTTCTTTATTGTATTCTTTTCCTCCATTTCACCTTTCATAGAGTTTTTGGTAATCTTTACTTTCTTGGGCTTCTTTAATTCATTCTAAAACTTGTTTAATTCTAGATTTTTTATCGGGATAAATACTTAATTCGAAATCTAATTCTTTATCAAGAGAACTACTTTGAAGATAATCTTCATACTTTTTTTCTGCTCTGGCTAATAAATTAGGAATTTCTTTCTGAGCCTCCTCGGTGGTAATAATTGGTTTTGACAAGGCATATCTTCTATTCCTTATATTTTCTAAAATACGATAAGCGGCTTGTTTAAAATGATTATTTTCTTGCTCTAATTTGGCCGATTTTTGTCTTTCTTTCTCTAATTCTTTTTGATCTAATTCATTTTGTTGAAGATCTTTTCTTTGGGCAAAATCATCTCAAAATTTTTCTTCACTAATCGAAAGTTCTGGTCTTTTTCTTAATTCGGTTATTTCCTTTTTAATTTCTTCTAATTCGCGATAATCAAAGAATTGGGTTCACTCTTTAATCTTTGTTTCTAATTCACTTGCTTTTTCTTTAACTTGAACCGCATTTTGATTCAAAAAGTTATTTTTTCATTCCTTTAATTCACCTTCAGTTAAAGAATGGTTTTCTTTTTCTACTTTTAGTTCTTCGCCAATTTCTTTATTTTTTTCCTCTAACTCTTTAATTTCTTGCTGAACTTCTAAAGGTTTCTTTTCTCCAAAAATATCAGTCCAAGCCTTTAATTCTTCTTTTTTTTTAAGATAATCAGTTTCGTGTTTTTCAAATTCTTTTAATCTTTCTAGTTTAAGTTCTCAGTCCCCGGGCAGTTTTTTAACATTTAATTTATCATAAGCAATTATTTTATCCTTATCTTCAACTTTTAAAACTTCTCCTGCTGTATCATTTTTGAAGTCTTTGAACTCACCAATCTTTTTTTTGTCTTCTGAAGAAAGATTGCTGTTTTGGATTACTTCTTCAAAAAATTGGCGATTAATGCCTGTTTCTAAGGAAGTGTTATTATTATTTTCGTTATTCATATTAAGTAATTTTAAAGGAATTTAAACTTTATATTATAGTCTCAATTTTAAAATCCCTAGAATTTTTAATAATTCTTCTTTTTCAATCTTTAATTCTTTATAATCAGTTGGTAGTTTAGAGGAGGAACTTTCCGGCAAGGGATTATTTATAAGTTGTTTTTTTAATTCGACAATTTCTAACTGTAAGGGATTAAGAGCAGAATTTAATAACTCTTTGATACTTTTTATTATTTCTTCTATGGATATAGGGGGTGGTAAATTACCCTCTTGGGCTTGTAATTCTTCATACTTTTTTTTGATTTCTGAATAGTTATCTTTTCATTTATCTAAACTGGTTTTTATGCCGTCATAATCTTTATATTTCTCTATTTCCTGTTGAACTGCTTGCTGTAGTTGTTCAGGGGTGGGTCTTTGTTCTGCTATTTTTAATTTAGTTTCAGTTTCTAATAACTTGGTTTCTAATGTTTTTTTATCGCTTAATTGTTTTTCTCAATCAGTAGGTAAATTAGTGGGTTTTAAGTCTTCTTCGGCATGTTTTTCTTGGTTATTCAAGAGTTCTTGGTATTTTTCCTCGGTAATATTTGGTTTGGATTGTAGGTTATTTAACTCTTCTCCTTGGTTTTTTACTTCATTTTTTAACTCTTCAATAGTTTTGTCTTGCTCTTCGATTTTTGTTTCTAATTTCTTTGTGTTTTCTAATAATAAGTTATTTTTTTGTTCAGATTGTTCCGACTTATTTTTTAAGTTTTCTATCTCTTTATCTTTGTCCTTAATAATTTGGTCGCGATTAGTTAGTTCAGTTTGCGAAGTAGTTAATTTTTGTTCTAATTCTTTATTCTTAGTAGTTAGTTGGTTTTTGTCTTTTTTTAATTCCTCTATGGTAGCCCCCAACTCTTTCATTTTGGCGATGAAGTCAGCTCGGGGAATTTTGCCACTAATCCCTTTCTTTTTAGTGCTATTTAATCATTCCTCGGCATTGAAAGGTTGGTTTGACATATACTAATATTGTTTCTCTCATAAGGGTCAATTCCGAAATCCTAACTAAACTTAATTTTAAGCCTTTAATGGTTGAATTTCTTTATTTTTTAAATAATTCTTGGCCCTTAGCAATTCTTTCAATTTTCCTAAAACGCCAGTAAAATCTTCTTCTCCTTTTTCTATTCTTTTATCTCAATCTTCTATTAACTTTTGATAATTATGACTTACTTTGGCTTGAATAATGGCTAGTAAGAGTTCTTGGGTTATTCTTCTAGTTTCTGGGAGTTGAAAACTAGGTAAGGCATTTTCAGGATGTTTTAGTCCCTCCTTTCATTCTTTTTCAGTTTTTTTTAATAATTCCTGAATGGCTTCTTCGGCCTGAATACTATTTTGAACAGGCCGAGTGAGTACTCAACCTTTTTCTTCTGCTGCTTCTTTTAAAGTCTTGATGCTTTTTAACAATTCTTCTTTTTCAGTTATCAATCCTTCATAATCAGTAGTTAAATTAATAAGAGTATTAGCAATATTAATATTATTAATTGTGGCCAAATTTAAGCCTTTAATTTCAGTTAAACTAGGATTATCAGGAATAAGCAACTTTTTTATCTTTTGACAATTAGATAAATCCAAAGTAGATAATTCATTTTGTCCCGCAATTAGTTCCGTGAGTTCAGGAGCATTTAATTCTAACTTAGTTAATTGGTTATTCCGTGCGTTAATTTGCTTTAAATTAGGACAGTTAATAACAGTAAGGGAGGTTAATTCCTGAGTGGGTAAAATAATTTCTTCCAAGTTAGGATAATCTTGGATGGTTAAGTCTCCAGTTAGTTTTTGTTCACTAGCATAGGAGATTTTTTTAACACTTTTATCAGTTCAATTTTTTTCAAGATGTTCTTGGGCGTTAATGTTCATAGTGGTTAATATTTACTTGGGATTTGGAGCAATTGCTCAATTTGGGCTTCTAGTTCGATTTGTTTTTGCTTTTCTTGTCAATTTCTAAATCTTTGTTTGGCTTCTTGACAACTAGCATTATTTAAGATTCATTCCGCCTCCTTTTTGGCTATATCTCGCAATCAAACACAAATTTCATACTCCGTTGGTTTAAATCCCACCGTTATTCATTCTCTGGCTTGTTCTCGAGAAAATCCTAAGTCTTGCCAAGTTTTAGTTAGTTCCAGAGTAAAATCAGGGTGGAGATTAGTTCAAACTAAAACATTCTGAGGGAGAAAACGTGCTTTTCGTTTCTTTTTCCTTTTTTCTAATTCTCATTGTTGAGTGAGATGGTCCGAGGCTACTATTCGCACATTACTATCTGCCTCTATTTTTCTTAAATTAGGACAGTTGGATAAAATTAGAGTAGTTAAAAGGTTGCCCGAACACTTTAATTCTTCTAGATTAACAAAACTAGTCAAATTTAAATAACCTTCCAAATTTTGTCCACTAAGGTCCAACTTTATCAGTTTTTTTTGGATGCCATAAGGATAATTATTTTCAATTCAGAGTTGAGCGTTTTTTATATTTTTGATTGACTTATTATTCATAATTATTTAATTTGGTTGATTTTTTGTTTAATTTTATTGAACTCTTCTTCATCCGTTAAATCTTGTAAACTATTTTCGAGGGCTTGTTTTTGCTTAGATAATTTATCATAATTCTCGGAAGTGGGTAATTGTTCTTGTTTTTGTTTTAAATGCTTGATTTCTAACTGTAAAGGAGTGAGTATAATTAGTTCTTTTATTTTATCTTGGTTCGGATTTTGGGGGTGATAATTTACTTGAATAGTGTATTGATGGTCGGCACTACCATCAATGGAGACTTTTAGGGCTAATTCTTGGAGTTTTTCTTCACTCGGATTTTTTTTTAGTTCTTGGCTAATTAGTTCGATTAATTCTTCCCGGATAGTTGGTCAATTTTGGTTGACTATTTCCTGGTTAACGCTGGTCTTGATGGTTTGGCTATCGGGAATATTCTCTGAATTAGGATAATAGACCGCTAATAATTCACTCATATTTAGTAGTTCCTGTGGAAAAGTAGTGGGGGTAAGTAATAATTCAAAATCTTTTTTAAACTCTTCGGTGAGATTTTCCTTTACTCAGTTAAGTTCTTCGACCAATTTCTTTCAAAAGTCCGGGGTTTTAGTAGTTTTATCAGTGCCGATATCGATCAGGGCTAATTCTTGGGACAGAGTTCAGAAAATTAGTTGAGGAGAGAAGTTGCCCGTTTTATCTTTTTTGTCTAAAAGTAGAAAAATATCTCCTTGGCTTCCTTCTTTTGGCTCTGCCTCGGCACTCTCTTGACCGAAATGAACTGGGATTGATTTTAATTCGGCTAAGCGGTGAACTTCTTTAACCAGTTTTCTCTTTTTATTATTTTCTGTAGATAAGTCAGCAATTCCTAATTCGGTTCAGAGTTTTTTTTCTTCTTCGCTATCCCCGATTTGGTCCGGTCAAATGAGGACTTTTAGTTTAGTCAGTCCTTCCACGCTTAATTTAGTAATCGGAGTTTTTAAGAACTTGCGATAAATTTCAATTTCTTCCAGGTTTTTAAAGGTCGTTAAATCTAATTCTCCTCCCTCCAAAAGTTCAGTTTCTCCGGTTTGTTCCCGTTCTTGATTAATTTTTTCCAGGTTAATTTCCTGGACCGTTTCTTTATCTTCTTGCGCCGGATACTTATTATTGAGATATTCTTGTAAGGTTGTCATAATTATTTTTTAAATTTCTTTTGGTGTTTTTTTGGTAATCAGGAGCGAGAGAGTAAAATTAGTAAGAACGAGACCACGCCAATTAATCAATTTCTCACATAGGTTAAATCTTGAATGGTTTCGGATTTGCTTTCACAGACCGAGCAGGAGTGGGTTAAATATTTAATAATTTTGTTCTGCTGCTGGGCATAATTGGCTCAAACCTTCTCTAATTTCTGGCTAACTGAATTCAATTCATTCCGATTATTTTCCGTCAACTTAATAATTTGCTCGGCCTTTTCTTCCTTAGTTAAGTTAGAGTTTTCTAACTCTTTTACTTTTTCATCTAATGCTTGTTGAATGGCCTCTTTTTCTTGCTGGCAAACTAAAAGTTTACTTTGGAGATGGTTTAACTCTCGTTCTTTAGCCTCCATCCTCTTGGGAAGATCTGAAGCAGACAATTTATTAAACTCTTTTTCTATCTCTTCAATATGTTGATGAAGTCTAAGTATGGTTTGCTCTAGTCGGGCAATTTGCTCATGAATTGTCATTATTCTTCATCATCGCTATTTATTATTAAACTCCTTAAATCGGTTATTCAACTGAACTATCTTGGCTTCTAAACTATTTAAAGAATTAGCGACTTTATCTACCTTAGCATCGGTGGCGGTACTGGAATTTTTTAAAGTCTGATTTTCATTGAGCAACTTTTGTTTATCCTCTTCCAAGGTTTTCTTTTCTTCTTCTAACTCTTCTTTTTCTTTTTTTAAACTATTTAAAACATTTATTGCTTCCACTAATGCTGTTTCCATACCAACCACCATCTCTTCTTGGGCCTTAATCTTTTTCTCTATATCTTCTAATTGGCTATTGTTATTTCCGGTTGCTTGATTATTTGTGTTATTTTCTTCTGTTGTCATATTTATTAGGTTACTTTTTGTTAATATCAACTTCTATCTGACTTTTTAGTAAATCAAGAGCATTTTTGGCTCTTTCGGTCGCACTACCTAATTTATCAATACTATTTCCAATCTTACTTAAATCATTATTTTTCTTCAACTCGGCGATCTCATTCAACAACTTTTGGTTTTGGATTTTAGTATTTCGATTATCCTCTTGTTCGTTTTGTAATTGTGCTTCAATAGCACGCACTTTTTCATATACTCGATTAACTTCCGACAATTTTTGCATAGCTAGTTTAGCGTTTTCAGAATACATTTCATCAAGTTTATTCTGCACGGTAGTCAATCTTTCCTTTAATTGGTCTCTTTCTGCAACTAATTCGGTAGTTGATTTATCTATTTCATTCTTATCTTTCAACCCCTTTTCAGCTCGGAATTGGTGGTCTTTTGCTTCCGCTAACTGATATTTCAAACTATCTATTTCCTCTTGGAGTTTTTGCCGATTATTTTCTTCTACTAATTGTTTAGAACGCAAATCAGCTAAAGCTTTTTCCAAGGTATCATAATCATCTTTTAAAGTCTTTCAAATGTTTGCTAAATGAGCATTTTCATCAGTTAAGCGATCAATTTCTTCTAATAAAGCTTTTTCCCGATCAGTCGACTCATTAGGAAAAATAACTTTTGCATCAACTAAATTCATAACTTCTTGAAGACTTTGTTCTAATTGGTTTTCACTTTCCTCAACTGGCGATTTTTCCCCTTTGTCAGAATTAATAGAATTGGGTGAATCAGTAAGCCCTAAGCCAAAAAAATTACCCTTCTTATCAGCTTTGTCTAGCTCTGAAAATAAGTCAGGAGATTTTAAACTAGGGTCAGCTCCATAATAAAAAGAATTTCGTGGTGATTCAGGTCGGCTAGCTGGTAAACTAATACTAGAACTGTAAGTTCTTCTTAAAACAGGATCTCTCATCCTACTTGACCTTATGTCATCACTAGACTGCAGTCTCATTAAATTTTCCATCTTTTTCCGGTATTCTTTGTCCCGCTCGTTTTTTTCTTGACGATATCGCTCCTCTTGACTTTCAATTAGTTCTTTTAAATGTTCTATTTGTTGCTGAGCAAAAGTTTTATCTTTCATTAAACTCTCAAACTTATTAAGCATTCGACCGTCATCAACATCTCGTTTCTTACGCGAAGTTTCATTATTATTTATTTCATCTTCCAATTGTTCTCCCAACTTCTTATTTTTACCCCTTTCTAATCGTAAACTTTCCGCTAGGCGATCTCTTTTTAAACCTTCTTCATAAAGATCATTCTCAGTTTGTTTTAATTCTTTCTTTAAGGATTCTACTTTTTCTTTTTGATCTTTAAAACTAACTTTCAATTCCCCTATTTCTGCATTTTTTTCTTTGATTCCTTGAACATAAACTTGTTTATTAGCTTCAAAATTTTCAATGACTTTTGCTTGACTTTCTGTTTGTTTTTGGAGCAAAGATACTTGTTTTCTTAGATTATTCAATTCTTCCTCTTGAGCTTCAATTATTTCATCTTCTTGAGCAATAGCCTCCAAAACATTGTCTAATTTAGGAATATCCAGACTTGGATGATAATCACCTAACGGAGAATGAGCTGACCGAGGCGAAGAAAAAGAACTATAATCAAATGAAATGGGTGAAGATACCTGACTAGTTGGCAAGGAATCGAAACGCTTTTTTCTCGGCGATGGTCGTGGCGGTCGGTTAGGATAATATTTAGCCAAGGAACCATAAGGTGAGGTGATGGGCTGAATTCACTCAACTCCTTTATTTTTTTCTTTTTCCTCCAAAGATAAACGACGTGGTCTTCTTTGGAAACGAGCATTAATGCCCTGCACTTGAGTTTGATAATTAGCAATCGTTTGGTTTTGCTTGCTAATTTCTTCATCCTTTTCGCGAATAGTTTCTAGTAAACAATTCACAATTGCCGAAAGAGGTGAATTATTGTCCTTACATTCGTTAATAAATTGCTCAATGCTGATTCCATTAGCAACTAAATCAGGGTTTTCTTGAGTTAGTCCGTCAAGTTTATTTAAGATTGTTTGAATTTGTTCGTTAACCATGTTGTAATTATTAATAAATAGCAACTGGTTTTACTCGAAACTCTATAAATATATTTTAGGGATTGGAACCTTCCGAAGAGGTATTTTTATAATCCCATTAGGGAGGGGGGTGAACCAGTTGCAATGATTCGAAACCCCCTTTTGTTGCAACTGGTTTTTTTGTTTTTTTAGGTTTTTTCTAAACTTAGTTTTTCCCGGATTTCAGCCCGATCTCCATTTAAGCAATCGGTAATCAACACTTTTTCTTGATTTTCAAGGAGGGAGCCATTACGGACCTTTCTTTCGGTAAGGGGACAAAAATATTTAGTAGCCCCAAAAGCTCCTGCTAATACTTGACCATTCAGAGTGATGGGTTCTTTGAGCGGACGAGACTCTCAATAATCGTTTTGTTTTTTACACTTAAAACAGGTAGTAAACATAATTTTTTTTATTGGCATTACTATCAAAAAAGGTTTAGCCTTTTTCGAAAGATATGGCCCCCACTGACCTAGTGGGGGTTTTTTCAACATTTAACTCTTAATAATCATCAAGTTGAATAAAGTAATCATCCATATTAGTATGCTTCACTACTTCAAAATCATTTTCACTTTCAAATTTTACTGTTGCTACTTTATCACTTTCCGCTTCTACTTCTTGATTTCATAAATAGTTACCATAAGCATCTAGTGCCTTGCCAGAAATATCCGCCACCTGAGCAGCAGTATATATTCGGGGATCTGCTTCAACTACTAAACTGGCATAGCCCGCACATGTTCCCGCTGCGGAAATAGCGGCTAAGCCTAAACCGATGTATGTGAATATTTTGAATTTATTTATTTTCATATGCTTTTATAAATTTGATGTTTTTGATATGTTTTTAATGTAATTAATAATTTGTTCATGACATTTACTATTTTAATCTTTTTCTTTTTTGTCTTTATCTATTAAAGAAGTCAATTGGTCAATTTTTACTTTTTTGCTTAAGTTGCCAACTTTATCTTTTAATAAGTTAGTTCCTTTTTGTTTTAGACCAGATAAAAAGTCTGGTTGATTTTCAGCAGGTTGATGACCAGTCTCCATTTTCTTTAATTCCGCTTCATGAGCCGCTTCTTGTTTAATTGCTGCCTCTTCAATGTCTAATTTAGCCCGCTTGGCTTTAGCATCAGCATCTAATTTAGCCCTCGTCGCTTCAACCCGAATTAAACGAACCTTAGAATTAGTCCGGTTTTTTTTGTGATTTTGTCACAGTATATATAAAGTTGGAAGAACAGTAAGGGCGGTCAAGACACAGTCTTTCACCATACCTCAGCGTTGATTTTGTTGCATTTGTTGCTGCATTTGCACACAGAGTTTTAATAAGTCTTGATTATCTTGGGTCATGTGTTTATTTAGTGTGGGCTTTTAATTCTTGTCAAATGACTTCGGCATCTTCACGATTAGCAATCCGAACACTTTGGTTTTGAAGTAATTCATTTAAAGTGAAATTAGCACATTCCACGCATCTTACATTCGGTTTATTCTCGGTTTCTTTGCCTAATAAAACAGATACCCGACCCTTTCAAACCAGGTCTCGGTGCAATTTATCTTCATGCCTCGGGCTACCACAGTAATCTCTTTTGGCAAAAACTTCGGGTCAAGTGCTTACTTCAATTTCATATTCTCACTGGTTAATGGAGCCATCCGTCAAAGTTCGCTCACATTTTAGTATTTTTTTGATGGTGTTAATGGCATTACTCATAATTTTTAGTCTAAACTTTGTTTAACTCTTCTATTTTAGTTTGCAGAAGAGTGTCAATTTCATCACACTTACTTTGAATTCCTGGCTCAGTGGTGGAATATTTTAATTCGTTAATCTGGCCCATTAAATCAGTCAAAAGTCTCATTTGGTTCAGTTTTAATATTTTTAATTGTACAGTTGCGTCTTTACTCATAATGTTGTGTTGTTTTATTTAGTTTTTAATTGGTGTTTTCATAATCGTTCACTTTTACTCTCTATCATGAACAACATTAGTTAATTGTTCAAGGAATTTATCAGCACCCTCCTCGGTGTTTTTTAGTTTTACTAGTTCATCATATTTTTTTCTAAAACCCTTTAACAAGTTATAATAACCATCCATAGTATCTTCTTCAATCGCTTCATCCGCTAACTTTTTTAAAGTTTCTGAAAAAACAATATCTTTATCAGACTCCAAAAATCTCTTAGTGCTGTTTCTAATTCTTTTTCATTTCTTTTCGGGGGTTTCTATTCCGTTTAGTATCTCATTTAATTCAATACTATAAACAGTAGCAGCACTATTCCCTCCTTTGTATTCTACTAACTTATCAAATAGTTCTTGGGCTAATTTTTGTTCTAGTCTTTCAAAAGTTTCTAAAGTATTTTCTTTTTCTGCTTCTTCTACTTCAGCACGAAATTCTGGCAAGTCAGCAATTTCCTCCAAATGAGCTTTGGCTAGTCTAATTCTTTTATTTCTTTCTTTTTCGCTAACTGTATGATCCTGATTTTTAGCCGCACAATCTCGACAGACCATTTTAGTTTCTTTCACTTTAACATTTGCTCAGTCATCTTCAGTCTCCTCAGTAATCAATTGAAACATTTTCTTATCTGGTGAAACTGGGTTGCTACAATTTTGACAATAAGTTATTTCTTTTATTTCTTGGAGTTCAGTTCCTATTTTTTTTCTTACTTGGTAATTCATACTTTTTTATTTCTTATTTTTTCTCAATTTATTCGTCTTTCTCGAGCTTCTCTTTGGACTTTAACTCATAAAGGTTCATCTAATTCTGAATGCTCAACAAAATATTTATTTGTTGGTGGTTTTAGAGAAAATTCTACTCCTCGATGGGGAACTCGATGCATCAGTGAACTAAAAAGTAAGGCTTGCTCGCAAATTTGGCAATGTAATGCACTATTACTAATCTTAGTTCATTTAGTTAATCATTTTTGATGATGTTTAAAATTGTTCTTCATATCTTTATGCTGCGGATGGAATTGGAGTATTCATCAATAAAGTTCACACTAATTTACCTTCATCATTTTCTATTTTCTGATAATCAACCTTTGCATCGGCTAACTTATACAATCCCGCCAATTTTTTAATCGTATTTGGGTTCTTGCTACATTTTTTACCTTCATCATAGTCCTTATTAGATAGTTCTTCAATTTTCACATTCACTAATCCATTTAAAACTGTGCGGGTTTCATGAATTACTTTATCTTTGCCACCTGAGGAACTTAACTTTTCCCCAAACACTGCTCCAATCATTTTTTCCTGCTTTTTCATGTCCAATCCTTGAGGGAATAAACTGTCTTGGGCAATAAAGTTTGAAATCATTTCTTTTAAAGTTTTCAAGGCTACTTCTTCGTCCATAGTCACTTTTTCATCTTTACCTAAAAATCTATTTCATAACTCTATATCAGGTTTAGGTTCAACCCCTTTTCAAGTAGGCAACTTAGCCATCAATTGAACAAACTTAGGAACACGTAAGGCTTCTTCTTCATCGGCTTCCGTCTTTCATTCTAGATTGTCAATTGGCAATTGCTTATCTCGTTGCTGATCAGTAATCTTTAATCCAATCAATAATTCTTCCGGAGCTTTACCAAAAGTTTTGGGGTCGGGGTAAGCCAAGGCTCCTCGCAAAATGTCAATGTTGTAAATTTGTTTATAAGCCTTATCATTAATTTGCTTGATATTTCCATCAAAACAAGCCTTAACCATCGCCGCTGAAACATTGTCTTGAATATCCATTTCCATACAATCCTTAGTTAAGGTAATCGCTAAACCTCATTTAACTCGACCACAACGTCCCATTTGTTGAACTAATGAAGAGATGGGTGTATATCCCAATTTAGGGGCTGTGTAAGTGAAATACTCAGCTAAATTCTTAGTTTCAGCAACCCCCGAACAAATAACCGTGTCAATATCAGGAGTATAACCCCTGTCCCTTCTGCCATCTACTATTCCTAATGAGCCATAAGGTTGTCCGCAAGAAACGTCCTCACAATTTTCGTCATATTGCTCTCCATAAATAGTATATTTAACTTTATCTCCTAAAGCTTTCAATTGTTCGGAATTTAATTTTAAACTTTTACTAAAATATCAAGTTTTACCGGCTCTAATTCTCTCTTCTAAATTAACTTCTACTGGAATTGGTAAACCTTGTTCATCCTGGAATTTGATGGAGTTTGGTTCTAATCCTCGCATATTTTCGATTATCTCGGCTTGCTCAGAATTATCTATTCTCATTACTCCAGCAGGCATTTTAGGGTCTAATTTGCCACTGAACATTCGCATCATTGGATAAGTAGAAGTAGCCGAAAAAGGAGTTCCAGGAAAAGTAGCTGACATTCTTATACAATCATAACCAGCATTAATCATTTCAAATTGGAGGGCTTGAAAACCAGCATCATTCCAATCAGCCTCATCAAAAACGATAATGGTATCATCTTTGGGAATTAATTTTTCTTTAACTTTTCTTTTTAGATTTTCATCACTTCAACTATTTATACCGCCACTTTCGACAAACAAATTGCGATCAGCAAAACCTAACAAATTTCCGAAATACAAAACAGATAAACCTTTTTTACCTTCTTCCTTTCCTTCTAATTTACCAGTATTAGCATTTTGTCAGTAGACTAAATCATTATTAGCTACTGGGTAGGAACCATGACTAACATAAATGGTTTTTTCGGTTTTTTCAGCCTTGTTCTGAGCAATCTCTTCATCAGTAGCCTCCGTGTAAGTTCCTTTTCGGCAATAAGCCATCTTAGTTTTTCCTTTTTTTCCGTGATATACACAGCCTCACCTTTGCAATCAACCAGTATGATGTTTATAAGCACTTTCGGCTAATCCAGTAGTAGGACAGACTAAAATAATATGTCGTGTTCCTCCATTACATAAACAATTAATAAACTTAGTGGTTTTTCCAATTCCCGTTCCAATCGGCAAGTGACCAGCCATCCCTTTATCTCCTCCAATCACCGGCATTTCTTTTTGAATTTTTTTGGGCTTAGAAAACATACCGCCCCCTTCTAACACCTCTCTAGTTTCTTTACCAATCCGACAAAAACTAATTCCTCTCTTTAACTTGTCCGGATTAAAAGGATAATTATCACCATCAACCGCTTTTTTATAAAAGAATTCTAGCAAATAAGCCCCTTTTTGGTCTCGGTGAAGATTATTTTCGGCTTTAGTATCACTTTTAGGCAATTCATATCCTCCTTTTTTATCCAGTCAACCCGATTTAACCAAATCTTCATAACCAGCTCCATCCTCAAAAAGTCCCAAATTTTGAATATCCTTATCAGCCGCGATAAATTTATTTAGCATATCTACCGTGATTGGATCGTAATTAGTAGGTTTTCAATCATCTTCTAAAGTGTTAGTTAATCTTTTCAAATTTGCTTCTTCCAATCCCCCATCCTTCGGATCAACCAAAGAATAATTTAATACTTCTCTTTGTCTACTTTCAGCTTTAGTTATCTCGTTAGCCTTATTGAGGGGTAACAAATCAAGTTTCAAGTTTTTAAATTGCTCGTCAATGACCTTTTTATTAGCATCTAAATCTCGTAAAAATTGATAAGAATTTATTTGCTTAACTAGACTGTCGACTTTAGCAATTTCTGTATCAATATCCTTCTTGTTAACCTTCAAGACTTCAATTCCCGAAATGCCTTGATAGTTAGTTTTGCTGTCTTTTATTTCACTAGGATTAATTCAGCCATTATCACAAGCAACTCTTTGGTCTTTGCCAGTATTTGGGAGACCAGTGGGGGAAGTTCGTCATAATCCAATAGCCTTATCATCCAAGTTAGTGGGCTTTTCGCCTCGGAAGTATTGTTTAAATAAGGACTTAATGCGATTATCCCTTAATTTTTGAACCTCCTCGTGGTTAATGGTGTCGGGGACTTTTTTCTCGTTATAAGCCCCTTCAATGGTTTCATTAGTGGGAAATTTGTTTAAATCGGTTTGAAGGTCAATATCTTTAACGATAAAATCATGGGCTTGGTCGACTTCTTCGGCTAAATGTTTGAGCGGGTTGATATTTTTAGTGGTTTTTTCGTAAGATTGACCTTTGACAATGGTTTTAGTGGTGTAAGTTTCAATGATTTTATCTTTGTTGATTAGACCATTGGGACTGTTATTTCAACCATTGTTATAAATCTTTTCGGCAATGCCGACACTTAATTCACTATTTCTTCAATTGGACTCTCATTCTTTATTAATTCGACTGTCGCCTTCTCTTTCGCGAAAAAAAGCATCTCAGGCCAATTTTTTTCTCTGTTGGGGAATGTCCGCCAGAATTTGTTGGATTTCGTCGGGAGTGTGGGCTTCTTTATCGATGCGGCGTTTTTCATCATCGTCAAAATTACCGCCGACGATTTGCTTACCTTTAGTTTTGGCATCCTCATAAAGTTCTTCGGCTCCTTCCACATTGGAACCAAATTTATCTCTCCATAAAGTTTCTTTATCAGCTGGGATTAAGTGCTTTTTGAAGAATTTTAATCAGTCTTCGGTAGCTTTGATTTCCGCTTGATATTTGGCTTGCAAAAGGGCGATTTCGCGGTCATCTTTAACTTTTCCTTCTCGTCCTTTAGGAACATTTTCGCCACCTTCATTAGGATAAAATTTATCAGGTCCAAAAATATCGTGCAATTCTTCCAAAAGAACTCCTCCTGGTTTCAATTCTAATAAAACCGTGCTTTTTACTTCTGATTTAGCGTTATAAACACCATCCTGAAATTTTTCTGGGCCACCAAATTTTTGTTCGATTAAGTTAGAAGTGATGGTTTTGGCTTCCCCATCTGTTAAGGATTGTTTGAGATTTTGAGTGTCTTGCTGTTTATTTCAGCCGCCAGTGTATTCGCCGTTAGTGAAGTTTTTTTCACCAAAGACTTTGTGGAGGTTAGAAGTGTCTTGTTGTTCGTTTCAACCGCCCGTATAGTTATCGCCCTTTCAGTTTTCTTTACCTAAAAGTTCTTTGACAGTCGCAATAATAATTACTTTGTTTTTTTCACCTTTTAAATTCTCTTCTAAAAAAGGTAAAATCTCTGATTTATCTACTCCTTTGGGTAAAGATTTAAGAAGTTTGTTGAGTTCAACCTTAATTAATTGCTGAAAGTAGGCTTGATTGGCTACTTTTTGTTTATTAGTTAGGGTTTTTTCAAAAAAATCTAATTGTGATTTGAGGGTTTGAAGATTGATGGGGTAGTTCATGCTCTATTTTTCAAGAGCCGAGAAAAGATAAACAACTGGAGTTGAAATCATCCTTTCCCAACTCTGGGAAAATAACTCCAGTTGTATCTTGCCTTAGGGGAAAATCCCCACAAGACTATATTATAATTTTATTTCATTTTTGATTTTTGCTCAATAACTTCAACTTTCTCCTTTTCCAACTTTTTCTCTTCTTCATTTTCCTCTTTTTGGTCTTCCAAAACTTTATTTTCCTCTTGTTGAGAATGAGAAGAAAAAATAAAGCCATATTTTAAATTATATTGACCTTCTTTTGGAAACCTTTCCATAAATTCTCTAATCCCTACTTCTCGTTCCTGTCCTCGGTGTTTTTCCCAAGCCCAATAACTAGCTAAATTAGAATAGACTTCCGGATTATTAGTTCTAGAAAACTTATCCGCTGAATCAATATGACGAATTTTATATTTATGGTAAATTGCTTCCAAAACTCTATCATATTCCTTTCAATAAAATTCTCTTTGTTTTCAATCTCCTCCTTTTAATTCGTAAGAGTAAGAGTTAGGGTCAACTGGTTGTTTAGTTCTTTTATCTTCGTAATAAATATTAACTAATTTACCTTTTGCCAAGCCTTCTATAATGTTTTGCTCTGCTTTGACTGAAATTTTGCCCTTAGTTTTAATTATTAAAGTATCCTTAGTCATTTCTAAACTATGTCTTATTAATTCTAAATACATGTCTAGTTTTCTAGTTTCGTTGACTAAATTAGCAAAATCTCCTTTTGCGAAAACATTATTGCGAAAAATGACTAATCTGTCTTGTTTGCTTGTAAAATCTCTGACTGTATCATCACCAAGAAAAGTAATTTTTAGTTTGGTTATTACCCCTTCAAAATTACTTTCTATATTATTAATATTAGCTATTAAAAATTTCTTTCCATAATAAACAACCGCAACTTTTCCGTGCATAATCAATTCTCTTTCTATTCGTAATCAATTATCGAATAATCAGCCAACTCCTTCTAAATTAGAAATTCCTAAGTAATAACTAATTAACTCTTCTGATATTCAGACATAAGAAACAACTGAATTTCACTCGGTTGAAAGTTTTAAATCAGGAATTTTGGGTAATCTTCCTAAATCAAGGTTAGTGAAATCAGTCATTTAATTATTTTCTAATTATTTTACTTCGTCTATAAATTCTTCATCAGCAAATTTTTCCATGATTGATTTAAAACGACCTAAAACAGTGCTACCACTACTGCTTGTTGGTTTAACATCTTCAAGCATTTGTTTTAATTTGGGTTTTAATAAACTTGCATCAAATCCATTCAATTCTTCAATAATTTTATTTCAAAAATCTTCAAAACTACCAGCTGAGTCAATGTCTTCACTAGTGCCTGTATCAACATACTTACTGAGGATTTGTTTTAATCTATTCAAGTATTTATCAATTTTTTCCTCCCCAGAGTAATATTCGGTGTTTTCACCCTCCTCATCTTCGTTAACAACATCTTCCAAACCATCTGAAATATCTTCTTTACCTTTATTAACAATAATCGCCATATTGGCAAAACTAATTGGACCTCCCACTACAAAACCCGGTAAAGAAACTTTTTTAGTCAAAGGGTCATTTTCGTGGTCTTGAATAATTAATCTTGGTTCAATCTGTCAATTAAGAGCAAAACTTTCTTCACCCATTATTAAGGCTCCAACCCCTTTTGGCAAGATAGTGTCATAAACATTTTTAAACTCTCTTTCTAAATCTACCAAAGAGTAATTATAAGTTCTAGAACCTTCCATTCGCAAATCTGTTTTTTTATCGGTATCCAAAATTACTATAATATTTTTGAGTTTACCGGAAGCATAAATAGTCTTTTCATAATTACCATTCTTCTTTTTGTATCCTCGATTAAACTTGTCAGTAGGATGTTTCATCATTTCGGCAGTAGAGAATAATTTCTTTAAAAATTTACCAGCATTGTTGAACTCTCTTTCGTTCATTTCAACATAAGCATCATTAGAAAAATTATCTCTTTTACAAACACTTTCAACACACTTTTCCATAATTGTAATGTCAAGTTTTTTTTTCAAATTGTTAGCCTGTAAAGAGGCAATCATTTCGGCTTTTTCAGGGCTACCAGTGGCAACTCTTAACATGTCCTTAGTGATTTTTGTTTGAAAAATCTCATCTATCATTACTGGAACAGCACATTTATAAACTTTATCATTGTCCCATTTCATTCCGCCAACTTTTCGCGGACTTTTATATTTTGTTCCAGCAGCGGGGTTGGAAGAAAAATATTCGGCTGTATCTCCGTTGATTACAGCATTTTCAGTCATGAATTCAGCAAGTCAAAAATTATTTACTTTAACTGAATCCAAAACTTTTTCTGGAGTAGATGCGTTATTTAATAAATCGTATACGATATTTTCATTATTCATAGTTATTTTTCGAGAGGTAGGAAAAAGACGAACAATTGAGACTTAAATCGTCATTTTCCAAACCCTAGGAAAATAGTCTCAATTGTTTTTTACCTCGAAGCAATAACCTTAATAATGCGGTATATTTATTATTTTATTCTATTTAGGAAGTTAGACAGTTGTTTTTGTTTTTCCTTTTTTTGCTTTTCATCAATTTCGTCTTGACCCATAACTTTCCTTCTATACAAATCATCTTTTTCCATCGCTTCAATTTCTTCCATTAATTTAATATTTTTTTTTGCTAAAGAAATATTTTTTTTATCTGATTCATAAAACTTTCTTTTCCACTCATCTCTATGAAGTTCAGTTTCCTTTTTATCAGCCAAATGGGCGGCTTTTCAATCATCAGATTCTTGAATATCTTTAAACATTTTTCCTTTTTCAGTGCTGTTGGTATTAACAGTTTCTTCTGTTTTTGTTTTTTCTTCTGTCATGCTAATATATATTAATAATTTTTTTATTTAATTTCTGTTGCGTTCACTATATTCTCGTAAAAAACAAGGTAAAAGTCCAAAACCAAATTACTTCCCCTTTCTCATTTCAACCGCTCTCTGTCTTTTATTTAAAAGGTCTTGGCAAGCTTTTTCCAACAAAATTTCTAAATCAATTAAATTAAATCCTTGAAAATGCCGTTTGGCTTCTTTTAAAACAATATCCTTAACTTCTTTTTTATTAGATTTTCACATATCAATATAAAGAATAGCCCGCTCGGTTTCAATGTCCGAATAAAATGGTTTGTAGGCTCCTAATTTATCTAATTCTTGCTTGATTTCTTGTGAAATACTCTTTTTTGCCAAGTCATAAAAAAATACTTTCTTAGTAAATTCCTTGGTTTTGATTTTTAATTCTTTTTGTTCTTGTTTCTGCCTTTCTTTTTCTAATTTGTGTGCTAATTTTGTTTGTTTAGAAGGTTTGGTTTCAGGATAATTTTTTTCTAGTTTCATTAAGAATTGTTTTACTTTTTTTTACTTTGATTTTCCTCCTCTTCTTATATTTGCTTCTGGTGCTAATTGGCTTTTTAAAACTCATTATTTTTCTTCCTTATTAACTCAACCATGTTTTTCTAATAGTTCTTTGGCTCGGTCAGGTTCAATTTTGCCATTTTCTAAATCTAATATTAAAGTTGCTTTGGTTTTATCTGGTAATTTTCCATTTTCACCCTCACCAATTCAGAGAGTAAATGCCCCTCCTTCTTCATATTGGTCTTTTCCTCAATCTCTTTTAATTTCTCCTGTCGCAATTCTTTCTCCTAACAAAGTTAATAATTTTTCGTTGCTTGGCTCAACTGGTTTTACTTCGAATTCTTGCTTTACTAGTTCAACATCTTTATCAATGGCTTCTAAATATTTATCAACATTCTTGAAATTAGTTAAATTTAAATGTTCGGGCTGGTAATTTGCTCGGCTAATACTTTTATAAAGTAAATAGGCTTTTAAGAATTTATCCCCCGCCTGCTTTTTTAGATGTTCCAAAGTTTCTATTTCTTTAACTTCATCTAGTTTTTTATATAGAAAATCCCAACGTCGCTTAATTACTTCTTTATAATCCTTGTCATTTTTCTTTATTAATTCCTGTATCTTTTCTTTTAATTCTTTGATTTCCATGTCGTTTATTTAATCAGTTTGTTTTTCATCGCATCTACTGTAATAATCAGCTGGGTTATCTCTACCCTTTATCCATTCAAGTTTTACCTCAATATTATTTTCTTGTGCTAATTTCCTTGCTAAAAATAATCAGTATTTTTGGTTTTTTTGTAGTTCAATATTATCTTTGCCCTTATTCAAGTAAACTTTAAATAAATGGTCATTATGAAAAGTTCGAACAGCATTAGCATTATCACAGTAAATAAGTAGTTTACCATTTTTTCATTTTTCTTTATGAACTAAATGCCCCAGCACAGCACAAACTCCAAAGTTTTCGGCTTGATAAGAATTAGGGAACTCACCACCATCATAACTATTCACTTCATGTTTTTCCCTCAATCCATTACCATTTTCCACAATAGATGCTTTTCATCGATTAGTGCCATTTTCTCCAATAATACTCCGAGCAACATCCACATGAAATATTCTATCTGGCTGGAATTCTACCTCCGTTTTTAAAGCATAATCATAAAACTTTTTTATTTTTTCTAATTGGCTTTTATTTAACTTATCAATTAACTCTTTAATTTCTTCTTTTATTTCCATACTGTTTTATTATTGTCCTGACTTGTTTGTGATTTAATGTTCTCGATTACTTCTTTTGCTAATTCTTCAAACCACTCATTTAAAAAAGGGTAAATATTGCCTAAATTAATTATATTCCCTAACTCGTGAACTTCTATTTCGTTAAAATATGGCTGATTATCTACTACGGCTCCTAAAATAAAAATATTCTTGTTCTTGTCATACTTAAAAAAATGCTCTTGTCAGAGAAAATCCCGCATATTTTCTTTATAATTTTTTTCATTGTTGTCTCTAATTGCCATAATTTATAATTGCTTTAAAATAAATTCTTTGATTTCCATGCTATTTTATTTTCTTGTTATAGAGTTTAAATAATAAACCAAATAAGCCTCTAAACAGTGAATGCTAATTCTTTTTTCTTTATACATTCACCCTTTACCTCTACCCTTTTTATACTCTATTCCTTTTATCTTATAAGTTCCTTTGAGTAGTTTCTTAGTCATTTCTTTAACTTTTAGGACATTTACACCTTTTACTTGTTGAATAGGCAAACATTCCAAGGCTCCCAATAATCGAAATAAGTTTAACCCGTCCTTAGTTCTTTTATGAATATAATTAGTGTCTTCATAAATGACTTGGTTTACTTTCTTTTTCATTACTAATTCCTTAACCTCTTTATAAGTTTCTTTTCAGGGCTTATTTATTTCGATAAATTGTTCTTCTTTGCCATTTTTATAATAAATTCCTGTCTTCCCTCCTGGGTCAATGGCTAACTCTTTACTCATTCTGTCGACTTTTTAGTTTACCACAGTTAGGGAAATTTCTTCTATGCTCAGCTATCACTTCTATTTTCTAATTCCTTTAATTTTTTTTCTAACCTTTTGGTAGTTATGTTTCAATCTTCCATTAAAAGGTCAAGGAGTTTTTTGCGAAGGACAACCATACCCGCTTCTTCATCGTAGTATATTGCTTTTAAAATAAGGGCTAATAGTTCTTGTCGTTGTTCTATCTCTTTTTTAGATAGATTAATAAGGGTAGTGTTTTGATTATTCATTATTTCGTTAATTGTTTTCATATTATTTGTTGTTAAATTCCATTCGGATTACATTTTCCACAGAAGTATTTACTAATTCGGGGTTCATAATTTAATTGGGTGTTGCCACATTTTCCGCATTTAAGAGTTCGGTGATTATCGTTGGTGACTATCTCTTTTTTTACTTCGGGCTTGGTCTCGTTATGTTTTAAATCTGGATCATCCTCATCCACTACTCTAATTAAGAAAAATTTGCTTAACATATATTTCATGGCATAGGTTTCGGCTGCCCCTTTGGCTTGGGCGAAATTAATATTATCCCCACAGGCTCAAAATTTAAATATTTCAGTCTCTTCGCTTTCTTGGTCGCCAACTTCCATCTTTTTCAAATATCTTAAAAAATGTTTACTGCCCTCTTTGTCTCATTGTAAAGGTTGGGTGTCATCATCGCTAATTTTTAAAGTTAACTTTTCCCTCTCCAATAACGGCTTTAATATCTTTAATATTTGGCTTTCTTCAAAATACTTATAATTTAGGTTCTTGTTTTTTTCATCTTTAACCAGACTTTCGATATCTTTTTGAATATTGCCTATTTTGGTTGATAATGATTTACTTGTTTCTGTCATATTCTTCAACTTTCTTTGTTTATTTGAATAATTCACTAATTCTTTTACCTTGATTGTGGTGTTCTAAAACTCTGTCAATTGCTTCTAACTCAAAAAGCTCTTTTTTAGTTTCTTTTCCCAAAAAAACTTTACACAAAATCTCAGTTTTAATTTTTTTCAGCTTTTCAAGGTCATAAAAAAGCTCATTAATTGCCATATTGTAAGCCTTTTCACCTATTTTTTCTTGTAGTTCTTTTTCTAATAATTTAATGTCTTTCATAGTCTATTTAATTCCATAACTTGCTAAGGTTTGTTGGTAGCCTTCACATTCGCTACCTTCACATTTGCTAAAATCATGCCCTCCGCGGTGATATTCGCCGTTCAAATGTTCGGTTAAGGCTTTTTGAATTGTCCGCATTACTTCTTTTTGTTCAGTGGTTAATTCTTTTCTTTTGGCTCGTTCTTTTAAGAATTCACCATATTTAGCATTAAAACAATTAGAGCAATAGTATTTATCCTGGTCGTCCTCGCCAATGCCAACTTTTATTTTGTCACTTGAAAACTTTTTCTCGCATTTTTCACAACTTTCCACATCAGGACAATTAAAATAACTTGTTTTTTCATGGGTAATACTGTGAATAATTAAGGATAATTTGGCCTTGTCGCCTAAATCTTCCCATTGGTAATTATCAATTGAAAATCACAAAGTAAAATTTTTATCGTTATAATCTATTTCAGTAAATGGTTGTTCGCATTCATCACACGTTCAATTTAATATTTGGTCTTTGGTTACTAATTCCTGTAAATTGCTATTATTTTTCTTTTTCATAGTTTTTTAGTTTACTCATATCAATATATAATAATGCTTCTCTGAGTAATTCTTGTTTTTTCTTCATTTCTTCTAATAATTGGGCTTTTTTTAGTTCTCTTTTTTTCAACCTCTTTAATAATCCACAAACACTATTGTCGCTTTCCAAAACATCATCCTCAATTTCTTCCAACCTTTGATCAATTTCCTTTACTCTTTGGTCAATTTGGTTAAACTGATTATTTTCGACTTCTTTTTCTACTGGTGGAGGAGGCGGAGGGGGAAAATTAATACTGGCTTTAGTGGCGGCTTCTTTTTGAATTAGCAAGTTAAGAACTTTTTGTTTTAATAAGGCTTCTTTTTTTATTAACTCTTCTTGAATTTGCTCTGGGGTTCAACCTCGATAAGATTGAATTTCGTTAAAAATTAAGGCTTCATCAGTTTGCTGATTAATCAACTTTTCGCGGTAATTAACTACTTTTTTCTTTCATTGAGGAGAAACTAAATGTTCATAACAGGGAACTGTTTTTTGACATCTAAAAATATCGTGGTTAAAAAGAATAGCTGAAGGAATATTTTTTTGACACTGTTTCAAATACTTTCTTTCTTGGTCACAGCCAATTAAAACATTACGTTTAGTGTCTACTGTTGCTGAAAGACCACCAACGCCAATTCCGCCATCATAAATGATTTGACCTTGAACTTGGTTAAGTCCTAATAACTCTACTAACAATTTAGAAAATGTTTCTGGAGTTGAGTGATGGCCGATTATTTCGGGATTAGGTTTTTCATGTTCGAATTTAAATTTATCTTTTTTATTCATTTTTAGTTTGGTATAGTTTCTTTTGTTGGGCTAAATCAATTATTTCTCGACACTGTTGACACATGGAGTTAGTAAAAAGGGAGTTATAGAATTCAACATTCTCGGGGACGGTATTATCATCTAAGTCATAAATCATGGGTAGAATTTGACAGCAACCCATTTGTTTGGCTAGGGCTACCCTTTGTTCAAGACTCTGACCAGGAGGGAAGAATTTAGTAAATAAGTCTTGGCATTTTGGACAATCAGGAAAATCAATACTTAAAGACTGAGTATTTAGTTTACCACAGCGATATCAGCCTTGAACTACTTTAAATCATTCAGACTGATCTGGTTTGGCTAAACAATCTCGGATTAATTGTCGTCATTGGCAACAGAGTTTATTGGTTTGGTTCATTTTTAAATCTTGCTTGGCATTCGCTAATTTTGTTTTCAGCATACTCTTTACTTTTGAAATCTGGCATAACTTTTACTGTTTTGCCTTCAAAATCTTTGTAGTGACTAAAAAAGTTAATCAATTCAAAGATGGTGGTTTCATCAAGATCGGCTAAACTTTGAATACCGATTAAGTGTGGATCAACGGCATTTACCGCCACAATTTTATCATCTTGCTTACCATTGTCAATCATTTCCATTAATCCTAATACTCGGATCGGAACTAAGCAAGGGAAGTCGATGGGTTCTCTGATGATACAAATTACATCCAACGGATCGCCATCTTCCGCTAACGTGTTAGGAATAGAACCATACAATTCAGGATAAGGCATGTTCCCTACTAAAACTCGGTCTAATTCTAATTGTTGAGTGTCCTCGTTGTATTCGTATTTGTTGAGGCTTCCTTTGGGTATTTCTACCCTCATTTTTAACTTTTTATTCATTTGGTTTATAAAAATAATGGGCTTGTAAGTTGGGAATATTGAAAATTAGGATTTCAGAATGGAATGTTACTCCTGCAAAAATATTCTTCGGTAAGGTAATTCGGCTTACGATAGATGGATAAGTGCCGTTGTCGAATTTCTCTAACCTTTGGCTTGCTAGGGTTAAGTTTAAACAAAATCCCACGGGGACAAAAAAAACTATGGGGACATCTTTACCAAAAAGTTCAACAATCTTATCTAATCAGACTTCGGGGGCTAATTTAGGTTTCATGCCATTAAAAGGGGGATTGCAGAGAATAAGAGATGGTTGCTTCAAATTTAAACCTTGCCAGTTCTTAATTTCTAAAAAATTAGTTTTTAAATCAGCTTTGCTCTCAACATCATTATCAACTCCATAAGTTAAGTACTGATATTTAGCCAGAGAATATTTTTGGTTATCAATTCATCCTGTCGGCTTCTCTCATGGTCATAATAAGGAACCTTTCCCACAACACGGATCTAGGATTAAAGGTTTACCAATCGTGCCTTTGGTCTTCTTTATCTTATCCTTTAATAACTCAAAAATAAACTGACTGACTTCAGGAGGAGTGTAAATGGTGGAGGATTTGGGTTTTAAATGGTAATTATTGTGCTT